GAATAACATAATATATATTATGTTAGTCTCATATATAATATATATCATGTTATTCTCTTATATAGGATATCTAACATATTATGTTAGTCTCTTACTTATTATATATATGTTAGTCTCTCATATATCATATATAATACATATCATGTTATTCTCCTATATATTATTATTATTATTATTATTATTATTATTATTATTATTATTATTATTATTATTATTATTATTATTTATTCTCCTATATAGGATATATAATATGTATAATGTTAGTCTCATATATTATATAATATATTAATAATAAATTATCATACTACATAGACTAGAATAATATATCTTAATATAACATATTCTTTATTCTATTTTATTTATTACATTGTTATATTGTGCATTATAATATAATATCCACATGTTTATCATTCAGAGAGGAATTGCAAGCACAGCAGCCCCAAATCCAGGTCTCCAGCACAAGCCTAAAACCAGTGAAGTCTGAGTAAAATCCAGCTCTTCTTCACCAAAAAAATCCTCCAAGTGGAGCATCCAAACCCTCTCTGGCTGCATGGACAGAGTGGAAAGGGGATTTTTTTTGCACTCTGAAGGATTGCAGCAGCCACAGTCCCTGCAATGCACATTTGGGAATGGAACTCTTGGCAACATCCCCGATAATATTCCCTTTTCTCTGGACACTGCAGCCCTTGGTGTTCGCCAGGGCCAAAAAAATCAGCATTTTTTATCTTAAACAGCCTCCAGCAGCAAAATAAAGAGCAAAACCCCCCATTAAACAGCATTTCATCCTGCTCGGAGCTGCCCTAAGTTTGCATCAAGCTGGGAATCATAAATCAACTAAAAAAATAATAATCAGGACGAAAGATGATGTTCCTTCTCTCCCCCCCCCCCAATTTTTGCACAAATTCACCCTCTCCATGGAAGTGCCACTTAAGTGGGTGGCCTTGTCTCCATTTAGGGTTCACCTCTCCCATCCCTGAGAGGGGATGAGAAGGAGGGATTGGGAAGGTCCCTGAGGATTCCATCCCTCCCAAAGCACAAACCAAAGCCCAGATTTCAGGGAGAGAACTCCTCGACCAAACCTTGATCTCACCCAAGGTGCTGCAGCAGCAAAAAGCTGCTTCGTTCTTATTAAAATTAAAGCTCAATTCTTATTAAATTACCAGTGAACACAGCCAGGTCGATCTGAAGAGCTCATCAATCCATCATTCCTAATCAATTATGCTGCTTGATTCCCACAAATACCTTGGCAATGGATGGATCACCCCCGTTCCTTGCAGAGCCCTGAGCTGCCCCTTCCCTCCTCTAAGGAGTCTCCAGCGAGGTTTTGATCATCCTTAGTCCCTCCCAAAGCCCAGCTGAGCAAACCTGTGCTCTGCCTCAGGCTTCAAGACAGGTCTCCTTCAAATTTTGGGAATAACCCCCCCATCAGGGTCGTTTTACATGACCACTCTCCAGGCTGCCTGGAGTGATCCCTTCCCATGTGTGCCCTGCCTGGTGGGTTTCCTGCCACCTCCCTGCTCCAGATAGGAATTTTTTGATGGCAAATTTCATCCCAGGAGCTTAGAAGCCACCTGGAATGCTGAGTTGGTCCCTCAGGTTTTACCTCCCAGAAAACAAAAACCACCTGGAATACTGAGATGATCCCAAGGAAATGTTTCCAGCTGCAGGTCTGGCTGCCAGGGGTGAAAACCTGCTGCTGCTTCATTCCCAGAGGATGAGCAGCCCCCTCCAATTCCCAGTTGGAACATGTCCTGTCCAGCAGGAAGGACGAACAGGGATCAGGGACGGATGGGAGCAATGAGGGGTGAATAAACCACGCTGGGATTTATTCAGGAATCAACCCAGGAAAGGAGATTTGAGCCTCAGTCCTGAGCTCAGAGACACTGGAGACACCCCAGGCCAAGTGTGACTCCAACGGGATTTTGGGTGGGAGAGGGATGAGCTGTTTGCCAGAAAACAGGCAAGGAAGAAGGAGATTTGAGGT